TATTATTATTATTATTATTATTATTATTATTATTATTATTATTATTATTATTATTATTATTATTATTATTATTATTATTATTTATTTTTTTTTTGTAAAAAAATATATGTCAAGAAAAATATCACGACCCAAAATTTACATCTTCGGAACCGTGATGGTACCTAACATTTCACTTGCTAGGCAAGCCAACGTTAAAATACGTTTTGCCATTTTTAACAATTTAATTTAATTAATATTAAAAAACTAATAACTGGAATAAAATTAGAAATAAAGTGAATAACCCATAATAATAGCGATATCTAAATATCATCCCAGAACTGGTGTCACAAGTGCACGAGCTATTAGAATAATACAAATAAAGGTCTGGATGAAAATAAAGTTGTCTGAAAGAAATACTCACCTGAGATAAAGTGGAAGGGAACTTTAGAGCTGCGAACGTCGTGCAACTATTCTTCAAGTCTCCTCTGAAAAGTTGAATCCGAGCAAGTTTATTGTACACCGCTAGGACCAACTCTGGTATCTGCACAAGAAGTGCATAGTATAGTATGAGTACAACCAACCCCATGTACTCAGTAAGTGACGAGCCTAAACTCGATGAAGTAGTGACGAGGCTAAGGCAGGTCACTTACATTAACCTGTAATAATAATAATAATAATAATAATAATAATAATAATAATAATAATAATAATAATAATAATAAAGCAGATAACTCATATCAACAATCGAAGCCAACTCGGCAGTCATAATAAATTATTACTTTTACCATTTTGTTGCGGCATGCAACCCGTTCCCACATTAATCTTTCCTTTAATTCAGTTGTGGCGTGCAACCCGATCCTCAATATATATCTTTCTCAATCAATTCTATTGCGGCTTGCAACACGATCCCACAATATATTCATTTTCATTTATGTTGCGGTGTGCAACCCGCTCCCCAAACAATATCAATCATTAATTCTTATAAATGAAATTATTCCAATAATTGAAACAATTAATACTCAACTATTAAGGCAACAAAGCATACATTAATTATGATTTATTTAGTAAACAAGTAATGACAAGTAGAAATTATTTATAGAATTAAAGAGAAAATATGCAATTTAATATATGAAATGCTAAATGTCAAATAGCAATCATGACACATAATTCAAATAAGCACGCAGCAGTTAAAATATGGATTCAAGGCATAATATTGAACAATGAATATAAGAGAAATGATTAATATAATAATCAATTCATGAATTAAAGTAATTTATCATTTTTCAAATAAATATGCAAACAATCAATTTAACAATGTATAGACACTCGTCACCTCGCCTATATGCCGTTACACATAAAATTCACGTAACAATTAATTCAAGGATTCTATTCCCTCAAGTCAAAGTTAACCACGATGCTTACCTTAGTTTTCGCAATTTAAGTGATCACTCGACCACCACTTTTCCTTTCAAATTAGTCTCCAAACCAATCAAACCTATCAAATTATTGGCCAACAATTCAATTGGAGCTTTAGAAATTATTCACAATTCGAAAGAGACTTAATGTAAATCATTTTTGGAAAAGTCAAGCAAAAGTCAGCGTGGGGCCCACTGTTCGGAAACCGACGAACAAATGCTACCAATTATAAATCATGAACAGGATAATTCTTCTCATGAACTTTCAACTGGCGCAACGCATATACAATCACCCTGCCATCTTGCATTAATACTGCACCGAGCCCAATACGAGATGCATCACAATGCACCATGTAAGATCCTAAATTTGTGGGTAACACCAACACTGGCGCCATAGTCAAAGCAGTTTTGAGCTTCTGAAAGCTCAACTCACACTCGTCTAACCATGTGAATAGAGCATCCTTTTGGGTCATTCTGGTTAATAGGTTTGCTATAGATGAAAACCCTTCCACGAACTGGCGAAAATATCATGCTAAACTCGGAAAAATCTGGATCTCAGTAGCTGAAGTAAGTCTAGGCCAGTTCTGAAGTGTCTCAATCTACTTAGGGTCCACTTTTATGCCTATTGCCGATACAACATGCCCCAAAAAGTTAGCTGAGTCTAACCAAAGCTCGCATACAGTTGACTATCCCTCAAAGTCTGAAGAACAATCCGAAGATGTTGCTCATGCTCCTCTCAACTGCTGTAGTAAATCAAGATGTCATTAATGAATACAACCACAGATGAATCCGGATAGGGCTTGAATACCTGATTCATCAAATTCATAAATGTTGCTGGGGCATTTGTCAACCAAAATGACATCACTAGAAACTCATAATGCCCATATCGAGTCCGAAAAGCCATTTTAGGGACATCAGATACCCTAACTGTCAACTAATGATAGCTAGACCTCAAATAAATCTTCGAAAACACCTTGGCATCCTCAAGCTAATCAAATAAATTATGCAGGATTATACACAAAAGATCCTTTTTTGGATCTCTCTTTAGCCCCATGTCTCTTATCCCTAAGAGGTCTTCCTCCACTAGCAGATTTTTTCGGAAAACTCTATTTATTCTGGTGTGGATAGCAGGCAGGCCTATATTTCTTGGTTTTAATAGGACTCCTTTACAAGAGTTGTTTATATATACTATTATCTAAAAATAATAAAGTTATTAATAACTGGACGAAATCAAGAAATAACCCCTCACGTGCGAAACTATAGAAGATACCCTTTAAGATCAAACAATTCTATTGAATTGAGTATGATTGTATGTGTGATAGCATCTACTATACTAGGAATATCAATGAACCCGATTATTGCAATTGCTTAGGAGTCATCAATCCTCGATAACGAATGCTTGTTCTTGATAGTGACCTTGTTCAATTACTAATAGTATATGCACATACTCATCGACCCATCTTTCTTCTTCACGAACAACACGCGCGCATCCTAAGGCGAGACACTAGGTCTAATGAATCCCTTATCAAGCAAATCTTGCACTTGCTCCTTCAATTCCTTCAGCTACGTCGGGGCCATACGGTATAGTGGAATAGAAATGGGCTGAGTGCCTAGAGCTAAATCAATAAAGAAGTCAATATCTCTGTTGGGTGGCATCCCCACCAGATCTATAGGAAATACCTCCAAAAATTCACGAACAACTAGGACTAAGTCCATAGAAGAAACATTTGCACTGGGATCGCGAATATAAGCCAAATAGGCTAGACATCCCTTCTCAACAATACGTTGAGCCTTCATATAAGGGATTACCCTACTGGTAGAATGACCAGGAGTTCCCTTAAACTCTAATTGAGGCAACCCCGACATGGCTAAGGTCATCGTCTTGGCATGACAATCCAATATAGCGTGATAAGGTGACAATCAATCCATACCCAAAATGGCGTCAAAATCTACCATATCAAGAAGAAGAAGATCCACACTAGTCTCAAGTCTCCCAATAGTAAACACACACGAATGATAAAAATGATGTACCACGACAGAATCTCCCATTGGCGTGGACACATACACAGAAGAACTACGAGAATCACAAGACTCAACCAAATATGAAGCAAAGTAGGAGGACACATAGGAATAAGTAGATCCCGGATCAAATAAAACTGAGGCATCTCTATGGCAAACTGGAACAATACTTGTCATCACAATGTCGGATGACTCGGCCTCAGGCCTAGCTGGGAAAGCATAGAATCGGGGTTGAGCTCCAACACTCTGAACTACATCTCTGGGACAGGCCCTAGCTGGTTGGCCTCTACCTCTAATAGCCTGACTTCCACCTCTAATAGTTTGACCTCCACCTCTAGCTACTTGACCCCTGCCCCTAGCTGGCTGTCACGACCCAGATTTCCCACCATCGGGTGTCGTGATGGCGCCTACTATCGGAGCTAGGCAAGCCAA